CACATTCTGTCTCTCACAGTTGAAGTGTACCTCTGGTGCAAGTTACTGACCTCTGTCATCATTTTAGGTGGGGGAACTTGCACAATCGGTGGCTGACTAAATACTTTTTTGCCCCACTGTATGCTATCATTAGTTTTCTTTGAGAGAGACACTTGCATGGGGTTTAAGTTATCAGCTGCTTTAAGCTGACTGTTCTGTTGTACTATGAAGCTATGCTGTAAAAAATATTCATCGCACAGGGTTGCTTACTGACAAACATTTGATTTGGGTAAAAATGCTAATTTGGAAAAAATGAAAGAAAGGCTATTTGATCTTACTCTATAAATCTTTTCAGACTAAAGTCTTCAAGGGGTTGAACCCAAGTTGAATTTCAAGTGAAATGTTTAAAGCTGCTGAAATGAGGAAGATGCTCAGGTCTCTTTTCTTAAAAAGCAGTAATGCTTACCATGGTAGGCAGGCTGATGTTGGCTAGGCTCCGGATCAAAGCCTGACTAAGGCCAGATAGCTCCAGGAACAAGGCCTCATTCCTTTCTTCTATCTGTTTATTCTCCTCCTCCATGCTCTTCAGGTTCTTCTCCATAGAAGAAATCTAAAGCAGAGAAGGACGCAACACATTCTTGAAGTAGCACCACCGACAGCTCGAAAACTACAAACTCAATTCCAAAACTACTGGGATGCTTGTAAAATAGAAATGAAAACATAATGTAATGACTGGCATAAATCCATATGTTATTCACAGCATATTCATAGCTTCTTTGTTGGTTGAATGGATGGAAATGTGTTTACAGACAGTGAAACTGGGTCCGCTGTCATAGACCGGCGAGCCTGGAAGTCATTCTTGCGAATGCCTGTTTTGTGGGAAAAGCGGTGTTCAAAGACATTTTTCTGGTGCTCAGTGTGAGCTGTGACAGCGTTTAAAATGCAGTTTTCTTGAAATTATGCAAGGACCTCCCTATGGTTCTCTCATCCAATTATTTTCAACTCCTGTCACCCAATCAAAGAAGAAGTAGTGCAAACAACACAAATTCATCACCTGCTAAGTGACTGCTTATGTTTATCTGTTCTGTACCAATCCTTGTCACAGTTTTTACTTGTATACTAATCCCACTATGCATTTTGATGTCTTTAAAGCATAATCAAGCAAACAAACGACAGAATGCTCTGGTGATCTTAACTTTTATCAAAATACAGTTTTGCCTCCATTTAAAGTAATGCCACTGTATAATAACCCTCAATTTTAATAATATTATTAACAGCGCCTCAAGAATATTTTTGCCCTTTCAACATGCATGTGTAAAAACCTGATATGCAGTTTGGAATTAGACCTTTATGTATATATATGTACTCACATGTTAACTAAACAAAAGAGTTTGAATTTAGAGATGCCATGTGTTTGTTTGGACGTTTTCTGAACTATGATGTCAATAAGTAATTTAAAGAACAGAAAATGGGGTGGCTGTAGCTCAGGAGGGAGAGCAGGCCATCTGCTGATCGGAAGGTTGGTGTTTTGATCCCTGGCTCCCCTTACTCTGCACGCCAAATATCCTTGGGCAAGATATCAACCCCAAGTTGCTCTAATTAAAATTGCATTCATCGAAGTGAGAATGTGTGTGAATGGTAGTTAGTAAGCATGCTTGTGTAAATGGGTGTGAATGGGTGAATGTGTCATGTTATATAAAGCGCTTTGAGTACTCTGGGAGAGTAGAAAAGCGCTATGTAAGAATCAGTCCATGTAACATTTACTATTAAACTGGAGATGCCCTTCTCAGTGTTATCAGAGTACTCTGGAAGTCTTACATGAATTTAGAACTTAATACCAGAGGGTGTGACATAACAGCATTGTATGTCACATAACTAGCAGACCTGTAATGTCCTGAAGTTATAAAAAGAAATAATCCACGTACCTTGGTTGTGGCTTCTTTCTGATACCTGTAGATACAAATCGGCTACAGTGTGTATTATCGTGACAAAAGTATAACACACTCTATGCTCCAATGTGATGTGGTGGAGGAATACAAATACCTGGACACCCATATACACAACAGAGTGAACTAGTGTAGTATTCAGCTCATTCACCAACCTTACTCATAAACCAAAATAGGACAGAAGTAACAACGCAGGCTTTGGTAAATGTACCTCTCGGAAAAAAGAAGTCTTGATAAGGCAAGACATTCCATTGTTTTCCCAACGGTCATATAAGTGAATTCTGCATGGATTCATTAAAAACAAACAAACAAAGCCTTGTCAAGATTTCAAGGTTGGCAGTGTAGTGGACATTAGCAAAACTGTATTTTGATAAAAGTTAAGGTCTCCAAAGCATTCTGTCACTTGTTTGCTTGATTATGTTTTAAAGACATCAAAATGCATAGTGGGATTAGTATACAAGTAAAAACTGTGACAAGGATTGGCACAGAACAGATAAACATAAGAAATCACTTGGCAGCAAGGTGATGAATTAGGGTGGTCTGCACTTCTTCTTTGACTTTGTGACAGGAGTTGAAAATAATTGGATGAGCGAGCCATGGGAGGGCCCTGCAACCTTCTGCATTTTAAACGGCGTCATAGCTGGCACTGAGTACTGGGGAAAAAAAAAACATTTTTTCTGTCCCCGAGAATCCTGAAGTGAATGGCACTGTTTCTGAGCCATGGCACGGGCGCCAGGGCAGGAGTGCTGGGAGTGAGTGCAGCCAGGACACCTGAAGTGGGAGTGTCTGCTGATTGAGGTGGAACAGGTGTTCCGCATCACTGGGGCTCCGGCACCCTCCCCGGTCCCTGAGGGACATACAGCATCCTCGTAAGGAGTCAAGTCTTTATTGAGTGAGTTGTGACACTCGCACAGAGGAGTGTCTTTGCGTCCACTGCCATAAATGGAGGTCCCGTTTGAGCCTGTTGGCATGGATCTGGCCATTTCACTGGATGCAGTTATCACTTTGTCTTAGTTCTAGTGGTTTATGCAACGTGATACCCAGAAGTAGTGCCACTGCGCACTGCAAAGAGAGTGGTGCAGGTGCTGCTTTTTCAGGTCATTTCAGTCTGTAAAATCCATGATTTGTAAGTTCATTCATGAGAATGAACATAGTTGGGATCGCTGGTTAGACCCTCTGTTGATTGTAGGCCTCCATGGAATTTTCTCCCTTCGAGTTACTGTTCTGCAGGAAGCTACAGGGCTGCTCAACCTAATCAAATAAAACTGGGAGGAAGGTCTGAGTCCCGCTAAAAATCCAATCCATTATTATTATTATTATTATTATTATAAAAACGACATTCAGTATGTCCTGGACTTGTGAGCAAAGCTGCATACTTTGGTGTGATCATTTTGAGAGAATTTGCACCAGGCCCAGGAGCGGCAGCAGTGCCAGTACAACAGACAGGCTAGACTTTGGCAAATTTTCACCTGGAGATAAAGTGCTTGTTTTGCTTCCTTCTTCTTGCTTGAAATTACTTGCCAATGGGCAAGGACCCTTCATGGTCACACGGCGAGTGGGGGACGTTGACTATAAAGTGATACGGTCGAACAGGGGAGGTGCCACTCAAACTTGTCACCTCAACCTCCTTAAAGCTTGAAGAGAGGCTGAAACTGATTCTCTGGTGAGCCTGGTAAAAGAGAGAGATGAGTTGGAGCTGGAGGTACCAAATTCCACCATTCCCGCCTCCCTCCATTGTGATAACCATCTCACATAGTCCCAGAAAATGGATGTTGCAGCATTGCAACAGTGTTTTGCAGATTGTTCTCCCTGCTGCCTAGCTGTATGACTCTCATAGAGCACCATTTTGAAACACAGTCTGGCGTGATGGTGCATTTACAGCCCTACAGGTTGCCTGAACATAAGCGACAAATTGTTCAGAAAGAATCGGCTGAAATGCTGAAAATGGGAGTGACAGAACAGTTGCACAGTGCTTGTTGTAGGCCCATAGTTCTGGTTGTGAAGAAAGATGGGTCTATACGGTTCTGTGTCTATTACTGCAAGGGGAACAAAGTGTCATGGCTTGATGCCTACCCCATGTCCTGGGTCGACGAGCTCCTGGACTGCTTAGGCAGGCCAGTGTTATTTTTCATGACACTGGATTTAACCAAGAGGTACTGGCAGATTCCCTTGTCTGCAGAATCCAAGGAAAAGACAGTATTCTCCACTCCGTACAGTTTGTACCAATTCATCACACTTCTGTTCGGCTTGTTCAGAGCTCCGGACACAGTACTGTGGTAACACCTGGGCGAACGGAAAGCATTGTGTGTGCCAGAAACGTTAAATAAAAACTAACCAAACAGTTACAGAATGCTGTGTGGGTAAGAGTCTTTCACATATAGATGACATATTGAAAGATTTGCAATTTTACACAGAGGAACATTATTCTGGAATTGTTTCATAATTGAAAACAGATTTTTGCACAAGGTAACACTCTGTCTCTAAGATGCTCTGATTACACACAGTCATGTTACCAACCTGTGGCCAACTATTCAAATTAAGTGCAAAATGTTCCTGCAGCTGTTCTTTTCTTTTTCTTTTTTTTTTTAGTAATAATTGCTTTTCCAGCCTTTACATAGTAAAATGTCTCAGCTTAAACATCTGATATGCTTTCTGTGTTCGGGTCTGTAAAATTTGCAGAGATTCACATTTTTTTTTATGCTTTACACGGTGGCTCAACTTTTTAAGAACTTGGACTGTATAAATTATGATGTTTCCTTGGTTGTTATGGAGTTGAATGTTTTACCAGTGTTGGTAGCTGCGTAGGAAGACTGACCAATACACCATATCTGGGTGTAATGTCACATGGCAATATCTGGAATAGAACATGGGGTCCTGCTGGCTGTGCAGTGACTGAAAAGCTGCACTCACCTGAGTGTGCAGGTTTATCATGTCGGCCTCCATCTCTGAGTTGGACTCATTCAGCTCGTTGATTTCCTTATTGAGCTGCTTGATATCTTCATCATTGTCCAGCACTGAGCAAGATCAGAAATTCACTATTAGCAAAATGAATGTGAAGACACCTAATAGTCCTGCTTTGGTAGCCTGTTATTTGGATTACACTCAGCATTTAAACTATCTGATTGTAATCTGATTGTTGGGGTTTTCTCTCTGTTATAGTAGTGGTTTTACAATATAAAGTACCTTGGGGCAACTGTTGTTTTGCTTTAGTGCTATATAAATAAAATGTAACTCTCATTGGGAAGTATAGGAGCAAAAGCAAATGTAACACAGGCATAATTTTGAGCAGAGAGGAAACATCACGGTTTCTTACCATCACTGGCTCTGAACTTTGCAGTGATATACTCATCTCCAGGGAACTTGGCTCTTTTCTTGTTGGCTGATGCTCTGGGACAACCTGACAGACTGAGAGAAGCAGCTGATGAGGATCAAGAGCTCTTACATTCTCACACAAGGCTGAAATAGTGGACACATGGATAAGAAGGGACACACACACACACACACACACACACACACACACACACGTCTTGAGCAACCCCTCATTTTTTCAGATTTTTCCAGAAAAATGGAAAATAGGTTTTTATTTAAATGTACAAACATACATGAAAATACAGCAAAAATAGAATTTGTACATTTCAAATGAGCTTTATTGTAAATATTTTGCATGGCCACCTTCATTATTTGTCAAAGAACAATTCAAAAAACCCTTATGGAACTGAGTTCTTGGGGCTGGTTAACCTTAAATTGTGGCCCACCATTGGATCCAGCCCTGGGGTCCATGGGGCCTGTTCGGGCACAGCACACAAAAATAACAGTTTTGCCGCCCTGTGGATCCACCACCCATGGATGCAAGCACTGTGGTTGGGTGCAATGTTTCTCTGTAGGGACTTCAGTGCCCACAATGAAGTCTCGTTGGAGTTACCTGGTGAGGGATGATTGAGAGAAACAGCTTGCTTGATCTAATCCAGTGGTGTTTTGTTATTGGAAATCTGTGCTAGGCATGGGTTGGTGAAAACAAATGCCATGTTCAAGCATAACATTGAACTTACCAGAGCACCTTAGGTTAATGATGGACATTGTTATTAGATTATCTGATATGAGGCCATATATCAAATCAAAATATTATATATATACACACATATACACACACACACACA